GTGTGTGTGTGTGTGTGTGTGTGTGTGTGTGTCAGCCAGGAAGTGATTAGTAGCTGGGCTTCTGATCTGTTTGAAACAGGACAGTCATTAGTCACTCCTCGTCATCACCAGACTGGAAATCTCCTCTACCACCCACCAAAGGGTGGAAACACATTTTTACTCACTCATTGCTCTGATGTCTCTCAAACAGTCCACTAAATGTTAAAACTGATGCATAGATAAAGGCTCAGTATGGCTCATTATTTTCGTTAAAGTAATAGAGTGAGACATTATCAAGTAAGACACTAATTATATAGGTCTTCAAATTGTGCATTTCTGATTTTTATGATGTGCTTTGTCATCACAAAGGTTCTTTGAATGGTCCCAAATTATATTGTGTTTGCTCTTGACTGCCTTGTGTTTTCTGTGCAGCCACTTCTTATCCTTCAAGCCCACCCAGTGAGCTACTTCAGCACCTGAGGCTTTTCGAGCAGGAATAGCATGACCACACAGACCCGGCTGACGCTATTCATTTTCAACACTCTACCTTGTAATTTGGAATTGAGTCAAGTTACTGTAAACTCATGTGAGATTACAAAAGAGGGAACACAATTCACACCACCCCGGCCTTGTTATAATATGAAGGAGGCAGGCGGTCTGTGACTGCACGGAAATTACCTCGGAAAGTATCGAACACGTTGTTTTGCCTAGTTTCAAAAAGGAAGACACTACAGCTGTTTCTGTGAACACAAAACATCAGTCATCTTCATTTGAATTACACTGTCAGTATTTGACCCGTGTCTGACAACCAAACATCTTTTAACCATCTTACATTTTGAAGTATTATATAAAAGATTCTTTTTTTTTTCTAAAAGTAGATTTAATATTTTATTTTCAGAGGGAAGCATGGAATAGTCTAAAAGAAATACCAAGCGGTAAGAAACAGTTTTGAATGAGGAAGTGTTCCTAGTGTTTCGGTACATACTGTGTTAGTTTGGAGGTAATGTAACTAACCTGCTGTTTGTGTGTTTGTCCCAGGTGATGGCGTGGTCATGTGTACAGCCAGCACTGTATGGATGGAGATGGTTTTAACAGACGTTGTTCTGGAGGACTCAGGAACACTGCACTGGCCTGGAAGAGCCTCGTAAACAAACACACCTGTAGACAAGAAGATTTACACATAAACACTCCTCTGCCGTGCTGGGATATAGGACAGAGACACACGGATACACAACACAGGCACGCCAATTCACATCCTGAGTGTTTGTGTGTTAGCAGCCCGTCACCTAATTCTATCTCCTCTCCTGTGTGAGAGTGTACATTTTTCCCCCTGTCTGTCCCACCTCCGCCGCCACCATGCCAAGCTCCACCATCCGCCGGCAGATGAAGAACATGGTGAACAACTACTCTGATGCAGAGAAGAAAGTGAGAGAGGCCACTTCCAACGACCCCTGGGGCCCATCGTCCTCTCTCATGTCCGAGATCGCAGACCTTACCTACAACGTGGTAGCCTTCAGCGAGATCATGAGCATGATCTGGAAACGGCTCAACGACCACGGCAAGAACTGGCGCCACGTCTACAAGGCGCTCACCCTGCTCGACTACCTGATAAAGACGGGCTCGGAGCGAGTGGCGCTGCAATGCAAAGAGAACATCTTTGCCATCCAGACTCTGAAGGACTTCCAGTACATTGACAGGGATGGCAAAGACCAGGGCATCAATGTCAGAGAGAAGAGCAAGCAGCTGGTGGTCCTACTCAAAGACGAGGACCGCCTCAAAGGAGAAAGGTAAAAACTTTTATCAATCAAATTTGAACAAACAGATTAAGATCTTAGTAGTAGTCCACTTGTGTTAATATGTAGGTGGAGTAATTTTGTGATTGAGCATTACACAGGACTCACATGCTTGGGTTGGGTGTGCCTTTTGCTTGGTGATGGCGCAATCACTCTGTACACATTTGTATGTCATGCTAGCTGTCAGGCTAGCTGATATAAACACACAGCAGATTCATCAGCTGTCTACTGCCTCTTTCTAGGCTTATTTTGATCATTTGACAGACAGTATTTCATGTAATTTGATTGGCTAGTGTCTGTGCCTGAGTATTTGTTTAAAGCGTTTCTACGCTGCTTGAGCAGCAGAGCGCAACGCAACACAACCACAATGCAGTTTCACAATGTACAATATCACCTCATTAAAAAGAATAGGTAGCGTGTCGGTCAAGTCCTGCACCAATGTTGACACACTATCCGGTCCTCCCGTCTAATGTGTTATATGATGTTTTGCTTAGCTCTGAAATTAAGTCATACCTGATTCTACTGCATGAGGGGCTATCACAGTAACAGACTTTCCTCTTCAGACGGTGACTTTGCAATTCCATTTTAGAATGCAAAGGAATTTATTCACCTTGCTTCTGTACCCTGCTCTGCTGATCTCAGATCAGAATGTGAAACTCAGCAAAGTCTTTTGAACCTCTTGCTTATTTTGTTCTTTTGGATGCTTGTCCAACGATAATAAGAATCTTGATTTTTGAGTGAACATGTGTTATATGCTGTTATGTTTTTCTTTTGGCCCTGGTAGGTCTCAGGCTTTGAAGACCAAAGAGCGTATGGCCCAGGTGTCCACAGGGAGCAGTCAGATGGGTTTTGGCCGAGGCTCGTCTCAGCCCAACCTCTCCACTTCTTACAGTGAAGAGTACGGCAGGTCAGAGGGCTCACCTGCCTCCTACCATGGCTGTGAGTATTGGCTTGTATATACTGCATTGATTTTAAACAGTATACTCCATTATTCATGATTATTGTGTCCCACTTGGTGTAACTTTGGCCTACATCCTGAAACCGGCCCCTCCCCCTGTTCTGTCTCTGGGTTGCAGTCCACAGTAGGGCTGCATTCCTTAGATCTCTGTCTCTCACACACACACAGACAGAGAGAGAAGAGGAAGCAGAGTTCAACCCCAACCTCTATCCCCCGCATGAAAGAGGAATCTTAGTGTTTCTCTGCTGAATTAGGAGTTCTACTGCTGAAATTTCACCTGGTTCATTAATATTCACAACAAAACCTAACCACCGAACTTGCACTTCCTGTTGTGTGCACAGCTGACTTGGGCTCGTATGAAGTGAACTGGATCCTCAAACACACCCACAAACAAATACATGCACCGACAGCATGACTGCTGAAAAAGTTAAACTCAGTCCCCCACAGAGAGTGTGTTGGCGCAGTGACAGACAGTGCAGCAGGTATTTAAAGCAGACAGCACACAGACAGGTAAAGATATTTAGATACAACATGTTGGAAACCAGTATACAGGCTTGGGCAGTCTAACTGAAGTGTGTTCACTTTTTATATATATACATATATATATATATATATATATATATATAATATAACAACGTATAGGCTCAGTTCCTACAAATGCCTTCAGTTCTTCTACTTACCTCAACAGCGAGTGAGTTAATGGAAGCCTTACAAAAAAGCAAAGTTTGAATGGATTGAAAGAAAGATGGAAATGAGAGAGGGATAGATTTGAAAAGAAACAGAATTCACATTCAGGAAATGGGATAATGCTGAGAGGGTGAGAATGGAGAAGTTGAAATGAAAGAATGAACCATGGCCTCTTTTCCTGTCACCTTCTGACCCCCGGTCCTTTGTTCACAGCTGTGTGTGTGTGTGTGTGTGTGTTCTCAGTGGGAATCTTCCATGTTTCGCCTAGTTTATGCTTCTGCGTCGCGGCCGTACCCCTACACCGTAGCCTGACGCGCAACTCCAAAAAATCCTAACTACGCGTGTTCATCTTTCATTTTGCTTTCATTCTGAAATGCACCTCTTGTTTGAGTGTGTGGCTCAGAGGTGGAAGCTCCAGCAGCTGAATCATCAGTTAAGAAAACTGAAGTAGTGATTGGCCAATAGGAGCGCGGCTGGGAGGCAGCTGTGGGCGTTGCCAGGTGGGATTTTTGGGATTCCAGTTGAATTTTCCGAGTATTGTTGTCCAGACAGGGTGTGAATGAGTGGCCATGCAAGTGTGACTGTTGGTGTTAGCCTAACATTTCACCAGGTCTGCAAAGTGCCTGAAAAGATCTAACATTTCCCTTATCTTCCACTAAAATCACATTAATACTAAGTAAGTTAATGTTTTCTTTAGCTTACTGCATTCTTTATTAAACACCTATATCATACTTTTTTATATAAATAAACATTTTCATACTACCCAGTTACACAAGTTTAACATTGGTTTAAAAGTTTTTATTTAAATCAAGTAGATATCACATTCAACCTCCGCATCCGAACCAAACCTGGACCTGACTGTGTATCTACACGAATGTGCAGGTGTGGTCTAATCTGAGTCAAGCTTCCAGCGTTTCTCAGTTGAACACCACTTGTAAACACAGGACATTTATTTATTTTAGTATCATTCATCCTTCTGTGGTTCTCCTGGCCAGCGCTCAGTCGACCTCCTGAAGTTTCCCACAAAGCTTTGAAAAATGTATAAAACAAATGTGAGACAGTCCACTCCTCTGAGAAACAGGCTCTCTCACCAGTTTTTTATCTGCCACCTAATTCCTCATAGAGAGACAAGAGACAGAGTGTCTGCAAATATGAGGTAGTTAGTGGTTGACACCCTGGGATAAAAAGCCTGCACACTATTATCATCACATAAATCTGCTGCCGATGACACTAGTAGTCATCATCTCTTTTCTCTTTCCCCAAAACTCTGTGTTCAGACTGAATCACACAGTAGAGGACAGAGACCGGAGGAGACTGTAGAAAGAATTATTCAGAAAATGCGGCTTTATACATTTTTCTCTGAGCAGAGAGAGATGTGAGGTATGCTGAAAAATTGTGACTATCCATTTTTGGTCCTTTCCCACCGTGATGGGTACGAGGCTGGTGTTGTAGTTGGCTTTGAGTTGTGTTTATTTGTCTTTCTAAGTGTTGCTCTGTTTGTTATTGTGTGCCAGTTTAGTCTGTCTTTGGGCTCAGTGAGTACAAACTGCTTTTGAAACTCTTTTGGTTTGTTGTTGTATTTGGCTCTCGGGAAGGTTTTCCCTCTGATGGAACAACTAAATGCATCCTTCAGACATTTACCACCTGTTGCACAGAACACATCATGTTGCTTGCTAAGCACTTCTACCTTGTTTGAATGGGATATGTAACTATAATCCCAGCACAACATGCAGGGTATATACATCATCTCTGTGTAGACCTGGTACAGCTGCGGCCACTGTCTATTTAAGGCAGGCATCATGCTTATGTTGAGTCCATGGCTGAAGTCCAACCAGCTAACCAAACACACCTTTACCCCTGGTACTTCTGGTCACTTTCCCCGGCGACATACAGTCCAGAGGGAGGAGATGAGATGAGGACCCAGGTCTGAGGATGAAAGTTGGTTGTCTTTTGTGCTGGTTTAAGCCTGTGGTGAGCTTCTCCTGCAGCTTTTCATATATATTATGTGCCTTGGATAGTTTGCAGAAGATGAAACAAGCTAGTTGTCAATCTGTTTTGATGACAGCCAGTTCCCTTGGTAGTTTCCAGCATCTGTCTTTTCAAAGCCCAACCACCTCAATATATGTTAGAATGATCTACGTCATGCAAATACATCTAACCACACACACACACTATGTGTACCATTTCCCCTCATGGAAACATTCAATGTTGCAAATTCATTTAGTCCTAAAGACGTCTACTGCTTAAAGACCTTTCGACAGGAAAGAGGATGTTAGTCAAAGTTCAATGTGTCAGATACAGAAACAAATCACCAGTTTCCCTGTGTCATTTTTGTCAGTATTTAAGTTTTGTTTTGGCACTAAGGCCTTTATCTTTCCGCAGCCATCTGCATTCAAAATGATATGATGTTATGTGCAAGGTCATCATGGGATGTGTGGGTGTGGGTGGGTGTTTGGTGTGTAGCAAACACACACACACACCAAATAGCAACACATCTGATCTGTGTTGCTATTTGGAGCAGAGAAAAATTGATAGACCATGTTTATTTTAATTGAAGTCAAGAAGAAAAGGTCTGTTCAATCTGAATAGCACAACACATTATATTCAACGTCACTGTCTTCTATGGATCAAACTGCTTTTGTAGTCTACATACTTGTACAGTATGTGATGGAGGCCCATGTGGCATTGATGTTAACATTATGTTCTGAATGTGTTTGTCAGCCACGTCCCCCAATGCGGGCTCAGAGCTGGAGCAGGCCCGACCCCAGACCAGTGGAGAGGAGGAGCTACAGCTGCAACTAGCTCTCGCTATGAGCAGAGAGGCTGCAGAGCAGGTACACGTGTGCACGCACACACACACACACACACAAGTGTGCTAACATGACATAGCAAGAACCCAGTCTTGTCATTATCTTTTCAATATTGAGTGGCTCTGATTGATATTTGCATATGTAGAAACCACCTATTAGAATATTTAATATATATATTTACTTTGCCTGTGCTGGGTCATTTTTGCTGGGAAACCGAGTCATTTATCATTCATTTCATCACAGGCTGTACAAAGGCTTGTCAAAATGAAAAAGACAAGTGAAATTTCCACATTTCTAGAGTCAGACAAATACTGAACGCTATGATTATAGCAGTGCATTTGAACCAGCTGAATAATCATGTTTGCAAATAAGCAACTTAAACCAAGTTGCCTGATTTGAAAAATCCTTCCCCATCCAACTTCCTTGTAAACAGAATGTACAGGGCCACCAGTTAATAAGTTAATTGGGATCAACAGAAAATTCTGGAAATCTCATGCAGTGTGCCATAGAAAGCCTCATTTATATTTTTAAGAAAAACTGGGAGAGGTTGTGCACATACTGTTCTTGCTAACAGCACTCTGGTTGTTTAGGAGGATCGCATTCGCAGAGGGGATGACTTGAGATTACAGATGGCCTTAGAGGAGAGCAAGAAAGAAGGTCCAGGTTCAGCAAAACTGCCCAAAAAGAAGAAAGAGGTAAAATACACAAACGTGGAGACTAGAGTGGCTGAATTATTCCATTTTTGTTGCCATGCTTCTTTAATAGTATTGTCTCTTCCAAACTCCTTCTTCTGCCTGACCCTGTATGTTCCTTCAGAAGCAGTATTGAAGCCACTAACTGGCAGCAGACTGCAGAGTTTACTCGTCATTATTCTGCACGAATAGCCGACCGACTGGCACACAGGGCTGCTTGACCAACGCTAGTGTGTGAACTGTGTTTGTGCTGTGGTCCTTACTGATCTTTTTTCCCCTCATCTATTCCCTTAGTATGTTTTTATTTATCGCATTCTTCTTTTTCCTCTTTTGTTTGCATCCTTCGTTCCTTTTCATTTCATGTCTCCTAAAATTTCTTTCCCTCTTTCACTGTCTCTTTCTAGCCACAGTCATCTTTAATGGATCTGATGGATGTCCCAGAGGCTGGTGCCAGTGCCGATCCCTGGGGAGCTGGAGCTGGAGCTAAAGCCGGAGCTGCCACTGCATCAGCAGACCCCTGGCAGCCCTATGGTATACACACTCTCACTGGAAATTAATATGTAACACAATATCTTCACACTGACAGTCGTTGAGAGTGAGTTGTGTGAAGAGTCAGAATTATGTGTGTGTGAGTCGTCTCTGCTCTCCACCTGCAGCTCCCAGCACTGTGACTCTTTGTTTAATAGGAATGCTGCTGCACTGGCTCAGTGGCATTGTTGCATGGGGGGGAGGGGGGCTAGAGGAAAGTCTTGTGTCTCTTTCACATCCTCCTCTCGTCTTTTACCCCTCCTTCCCGTCGCTCTAATGTTACCTGATGTTTTTGATACTCAATGCTACTCCCCCACACCTCTTAAACTCTTCACCCGCCCCCACAGGGTCTGCCCCTAAGCCAGCAGCCCCAGTTGACCCGTGGGGTGTGCCTCCTTCTGTCCCACCCATGAAGAGCAACGATCCGTGGGCAAACTCCACCCCTGCCTCTGACCCCTGGGGCTCTGCAGCCGCCCGCCCCAAGACATCCAACACAGGTGACCATCCAGTTTTTTCTACAGCCATCAGTTGGTATGGCACTTGCAAAATTCACAGCCACAACTGTACCTCCACCACAGAGGTTAACATTTGAGTTAGTTTATCTGGGAATGATGTCTAATGTCTGCATGCTTACTGTGCTCATTTGTCTGTTAGTGCACCAAAATATCCATACTCATTCATACGTCTGTCTCCATCTGTCTGTGTGTGTGTCTGCTGTCTGTCCTCTTTCAGGTAGCTTCGACCTGTTCAATTCATCCAATGGTACGTCCAAAGAGGACTTCTCAGAGTTTGACAGCCTGCGCTCCTCCTCCTCTGTCCCCACTGGTACTCACCCTTGTCTTCGTCTCTCTAATGACAGTCTGTCTCGATCTGATGTCTGCAGAATCAACTCTGCTGCCGGACACAGACAGACACACACATGTCTTGTCTTTTGTATGTAAATGTAACCAGACCCGAGCAAAAACATTGTTAAAACCACTGGAGTCTTTCTCTAATGGTTGATAATTGTCCACTGCATAATGTAAACATGATGAGTGGTGGAACAGGAGTTGCTCTGCTCTGGTCCCAGATCACTGTGGTGTAATCTATGCAGCTTTTATCTGTTTATTGCTGTATACATTAGACCTGGGCCATTCAGTTAATGGAACGTCTTTCAAATACACTTCACGCCACGTCTTGGGTGTTTTTCTCATGTGGTTTGGAAGTCTCTGGGTGTGGGAGGGTGACATTGGTGTCAGACTTGTGCTCTTACTCAACACAAACACCTCTGATACAGTCAAGGACAAGGTGAGAAAGAATGCAAACACAGAACTTCACTAACTTTTTCCAGGAAGGAAAACGCGTCTGTTGAAACTTTAGCTCACCTTGTCACCATATGTGTGTAGAGGACAAGAGCTTCGGTGATGTTAAGGAAGCAGCCAGAACGAGCTGTTGAAATGATAACATTTGAATCAGCTCTGGCTGAAATCCACAGGATTTATGGGCCATCAATTCACACTGGGCTGATTTTATCATGAGCCCTTTTTTCGGCTCTGTTACATATCACTTCCTGTTCTGAGGAGACAGTTTCCATCTTTGACATTTCCTTGTGTGTGCGTGTGTGTGCTTTAATAAAGTCTCTGCTGCAAGAGAGAAAACAAACTCTGAACAGCCCGGCTGTCTGCCTCTGCTGTCCTCTAATAATAGCACCTTCTGCTCATTTTATTATAATGAGTATTGTACCAACTCAACATTTTCTCATGGTAAAGTGCATGTATTAATGTTTGCAGAGGGTTAGTAGCTAGAGGTTTGACTATAAGAATATATATTCCATATTATATATTCGCCCTTTGAAAGATATGTAACAATTCATTAAAATGTCTAAACAACTAGATGTTGGATATTTTGTCGACATCTGTACTTATAAAATGTTTTCAACAATGGGGCAGTTTCGTCTGGTAGATTTCTATGCCAATGATGCTGAAAACAACAACTCCCATGATCCTACGCTGCTTCAGGGTATCATCAAATTAGGTCTTTAGTCATTGGTTTGATTGAGAGACCCCTAGCGGCCAAAGTTGAATATTGTACATTTAACTCGGTATGGCTGATCACAATTGCAGATGTACACATCCTTTTAACATACCCACACCATTTCTACATCATGTAGGTATTGTGAAGTACACCAGTTGAAAATAAGTTTGATGATGGTTCACCCTTTGTAAGACTCACTTCTTCATGCTTTCTGTTCTGCAGGTGATGGGGGGATAACCTCCTCTATTCTTTCCCAAGCCAGTCTGGCCAGCAGCAGCAGTCTGGACCTCTTCGACCCACTGCCCACATCTATCACCACAAACCCAACCAGGAAGACTCCGGAGTCCTTCCTGGGTCCCAACGCAGCCCTGGTGAATCTGGACTCCCTGGTGACCAAACCAGCCCAGCCCCCGCCAGTCGTCAACCCGTTCTTGGCTTCAACAGGTGGGAGAAGAAAAGACAATGTCACACTGTTCTTCTTAAAATCTAAAATGTGTAGCACTTTAGAAGAATATATATCATCTGCAATTTAGAGATGTTCAAATGAAACTAAGTATAAAACTTTGTGCACAGGCCAAGAATGTTCACAATGATTTGTTAAAGAAGTGAACACACTAAGGTATACCCATTAGATTACAGAACATGAACTCACTAAGATTTCCTCTCTTCCTTTGTCTCTTACCCACCGTTCTCCAGGTGGCTCTGCTCCAGCAGTGGCAGCAGCAGCCGCCCATGCAAACCCCTTCCAAGTAAGCCAGCCAGCTCCCCCCACCCTCAACCAGATGCGGGTCAGCCCCATGCCCTCGGGCTTCGCCGCCATGCCCGAGTCCATGGCTACCCAGCCAATCACCATGGTCCCTGTGGCAGGGATGGCTCCCATGGGGCGTGCGATGCCCGGAATGGGGGTCAGCGCTGTCGGAGGTATGGGGATGAGCGCTGGGATCCCAGCCTCCATGTCCATGGCCCAGCCCCTGATGAGCATGCCCCCCCAGGCCGGGGTGCAGCCCACAGGAACCACCAACCCCTTCCTTTTGTGAGGGGGGTGACTGGGGGGACGATTTGCCCCAGAGTTACCCCTCTCTCCTCCCTCTCTCTTTTCCACTTTGGCTCCTTAAGAAGCTTCAAAATGAACAAGGAGATGTCTTATATCCCATTTATCCCTTTATAACCAACTCCTACCGAGGGTCGTAGTCCCGGCCTCCTCCTAACTTACCACACTCCTTTCTCCTGTTTCTTTGTCTCTGTGCTAAAAGCTGCCTAGTCATGTGTGTTCCATGCTGATCTGACGACGATGTTGGTGACCACAAAGAGTTTGCTTCTGTCTACAGACTTACAGAGTAGCAGTGGTGTTTACAGTTTATTTCCACAGAGGCACGTCAGGGCCCAGTCTCTCATCCCTGTCCTCCTCTCTCTTACCTGCTTCCTGTCCCTCACTTCTTCCCTTAGGACTTCTCCTTCTCCTCTTCTGTGGTGGAGTGACAGGAGAGAATAACTGTACTAATGCCAGGATCTTATCTCTTCACTAAAGCTAATCTTTTATAAGCCCTGTCAGCTGGTGTGTGTCTGTGTGTGTGTCTGTGTGTGTCTGTGTGTGTGTCTGCACACATCTTAGTACTTTTACACTGTGTATATTCCAGTGGGTTTTACTTGCACACTGGAGTAAGGATGAGAGATGGTCAGATGTGTTTATACTCTCTCTGTGTGTGTGTGTGTGTGTGTG